CAAAACGTCAAAAGTGCAAAAGCATTATCATCTTGTCAGTCGCCGATTTCGGAAATTGCGGCAAAAATCAGTGAGGTCACTCATTAGAGTCTCTAATCAAATGCTTTCGAACGGAAACTACTGCGAAAGTCCAAGAGCAGGATGCAAAAAATGCCTTGTCTCAATTAGAGGCTACTCAGTTGTCGGAAAATCGAATGAATAGCAATTCTTGAATGACTATTGTGAATTGAAAAGAACATGTTTTGAGAGATTTTTTTGACATTTGACAGATTTTGACAAAAAAAGACAGATTATGAATGTTTTACATCCCGTGATAGTACATGTAAATAATGACCCTATGCAAAACCCTCCAAATAGTCGAAAAGGCAAAACTAAGAACAATGGATTGTAGGTGCATGGAAATATGTTGAATGACGACAAGTTTTCAAATGTGAGATGCGTTGAGCAATTCATTCGAATGAGCGATATTAGTAACAGTAATAGAAGCATGGAACCCGATACTTATCGTTTGAGTTTGCCGGTTGAATGAAGGAAAACGCTGACAAGTGAGCGCTAAATCTAGGAATATCGGATAATTGCTATGAATGAGACTGACGAAAAACGCTTTAGAAACGTTTCCTAATTTAACGCTCCTAAAAATGGTCGCATTTTGTCGTCTCAATCCATTGTACTCATCATACAAAATCATGCGAGTACGATTGAATTTTCCGCTGATGTTCGAATGAATACAAATTCAATGCTTAAATGCTGTACAAATTTTGCGAAATGCTCATCGCATGGTAATGAACAAGTTTTTACAAATACGAAGTCAAGCAATTTCCACTGGTTTCATTTCATGTCTCTTCATTCGAGTACTTTTTTACCCCGTAAAATGACAGGTCGCAGAGTGTGGGACGCAAATAGAAGTGATAACTGCTTCGTGCAGGTTCGACTGAAAAGCTATTGAAACGATGAGTACATTTTTATCTGGTCGTAAGATCAATAACACTGGATGAAACCACAATTGCTGTGGGAGGGAGTATCGTATGAAACCTTTGAGTAATTTCATGAGGTTGATAAGAAATTTGGGTGCATTCCGCCGGCCGTACGCAGTGTTTACTGATCCTCAATCTGACACATCCTCCACAAAATGATGAAATGCCACTCCTACACTCATTAGGCGTGTTTGAAGAATGCGTTTTTTTTACGCGAAAAAAATGAATCATATGAAATACATGAGAGCTGAAATTAAAATCTTTGTGCCTTGCTTCATATTGCAGTCGAAAATCGTTAGTGCAAAAGAGAATTTTCATGAATGAAAGAAAAAAAAACTAATCAACGAACCAATCAAATGAAAACGCTATTTTTGACCATCATTAAATATTTGTGAGTAGAAGAGAAAAAAATGAACAAGTGCTAGTCAAGTGATTGGTACAAAATGAATGTTCAAAAGTCAATTATTGACATGTTATGAAATTATTCACATATGTTTTAGGAAACAATTTGAAAGTCGTGAAAATTGCAAGCGTTTTCTTAATTGATTTATGCGCTGGACATCCATAACATTAGTTGGCGATTAGATGAGTGGGACGACGGAGGACTAAAACATTCAACGAAGAGTAACTAGAATTATGTACCTTGCTGTTAGCTGGTACATTAGCCTCAACATAAACAAAAGTTAATCACAGAAATTGAGAGTTATCGAATGGAACTTCGGAACTTCACGAAGAAATCAATCAGATGCAAAGGACAATATGTTAAATTGATTAAATACTTTCAATCTGAATCTTCTAGGACAAGGTACCATTATGATGGCGACCAGTCATGAACACTCACTTTCTGCAATAGTGTCGGTGAATCTTTTCATAAGGCTTATGGGAAGATCATATCTAAGCTTAGGCGCTGTCATCGAAATCATAATAGCACACTAAACGGTTTGGCATTTTATGGAACATTTACATTGATTCATCAAATCCTCAAAGAACTCTAAAGAGCGTAATATGAAAAGAGTAAACTTAATGAAAGCATCTTGAACAGCTCCAAAGAGTGAACCAGTCACGCAAGCCCTAGCAAGAAGACTTTCATATGCATTGCTCGTGATTGAAAAGAACACACGTTTTTTTGGCTGATTTTGATGATTTTTCATGAGTTATGATAATGAAATACTAATGAATTTCTTTAAGTGGTTTACGTCATGTGCACCAACGATCAAACTTCGCTTTGCAGCACTCTGATTTGTGCATAAATTGTCGGTAATGAGATGCAATCATCAATAAGTTTGTGCTACATTCCAGCTGATTCCCAATGGTATTAATTAATATTTCTAANCGATATTAGCCTGCTTGCGCAGTGTTCAGCGTTTACCTGCATTCGTTGACCATGCGGATGAACATTTCAGCAGACAAATACACTCACATAACAACATCTGGTATCATAGTATTGCGGTGTGAATAAATACAGCATAAAATTCTTAAATGGCTACGTCACTCTTCAATACGAGATGACAACGGATAACGGACAATCAGATGCAACGACTCCGTAAAATGAGACGTTGCCTTTGGACGTACACCGGTTTCGCATCGTGAATTTAATCTTCTGGTCTGAGAATATCCAAGAAAGGATTCTTCCGTTGTAGAACGTGCTTTGGTTTCGTGTTCAACATTGAAGTGTCGACTGCAAATGAAGAACTGAATTAGTTAGCTGCATCTTTATCGAATAAAGAATCTATGAAAGTGGCAATACACCATTTCTTTCAGCTGCTGCTGAACCACAAAGTGAGTTGGGACGGAAATTATATTATGATAATAGCCATGAAACATTCATGTTACGATGAGTGCACACTCAATCTGCATGACGTTCTCATGTTCATGTTACTCATTCTAATAAAGTAATGGAAGAAGTGCTTTCAACTGGCAACATTTATCAGCCAAAAAATATTTGCTGGTGATGGAATTAAGGTTTCGACGTCTTTCAATGTAACATTTAAAATGATGCAATCTTACGAGTGTTTGTGTGAGATTTTTGCGTAATTAAAAAGACCATTTGACTGTCAATCAGTTGAGATTGATGGAATTTATGTTGAATCTGAGACGCTGAGCATCAATGTGCAACGAATATAAACACACTCCAAAGTCAGCATTCATTTCGACGGAACCATTCAAGTGTTTGCTCAATTTATCGATCAAGAGGCGACGCATCGCATTGCATAGGAATTTGCAGTCAATCCCTAGCTTCTCAAGCAGTTTTCGAAAAACGATGGTAATTTAACGGTTCGGAGTACTCTCAATATGTCAACTAATCCTTATATCCTGGATTTTTCTTGTGCAGCACAAAAAATTGACGTCCGCTCCGTTGAAGTCGAGTTCTCCTCAGATTTGCCACAACATTATTTTGACAGGAAAGGAGAATCAATATGGTATTTCAAAAAATTTGAAGCTTTCACAAACGACTGATGTTAAAAAATTAGCAGTCTTGAGGACGATAAAAGGGACGTTCTTTTGGTGATAATCGTTACCTCTGTTCATACCAAAGTAAATATGAACAAATGAAATATCCTTTTGAAGTTTTTTATCAAGCCAATAATTCGACTTTGTCTTTCATGTTTCGTGAAGTTTCTTTTGTTTGAATTTTCAAGCGGATAGCATTGGTGCGCTATAGGAGAAACAATAAACTGCTGAGATTCACCGCTGAGAGTGCAATTAATCCATTCGTCCATTGTCAATCGTTTATCGCCATTCGAATCACAAAATCGAATGAAATTTCGGCCACATTTATGCAGTTTGTTCCACCGTTTCAATTCTTCTCGATACGGTTTCCACTCTCGTCGTTCCAACCGCTGAACAGCTCGAATATCAGAAAGCCAGAAGTTGACTTCTTTCAAATTTATCAATCAATCAAAATTACCTCTCCATTATCACCGAATGATTTTGAGGTGCGAATTTTATTTCTGAATCCACTACGCTTCAAACGACAACGACGCGCTTTGATAATTTCAACGACGTGAATGACTGATTACTGACATTGTGTGCTGTTTATAATTTAGTGATTATGGCTTGTGGCTTTCTTTGAGCACAAGCCATAAAGCATTATGACTTGTGCTCAAAGAAATATGGCGATGTGATGTGAAATTTATAAAAATTATCACTGACATTATTTTGGTTGGTGTCCAGCCGTGAGAATTTCCACCTTACTGCTTGTTCCTTGGTGACGTTCGTGTCCTCATTTGCATCACTTCCAATCGCCGAGATCCACTCGCTCAATAATGTCGTAAAAAGTCGCTGATAAAACTTCATCTTCTTTTTGCCAACACAACCTATAAATTATAGCCACTTCAGCATTTTATTGTACGACTGATTACGTTCAGCTCAATAAGTTGTTTTCGAGACTGGATTATTCGTCTTTTCGTTAGTTTCAGTGTTGATTCGCCGCATCTTAATTGTCGACCACATTCATGAAGTTGATTCAAAAGTGGTGAAAATTTAATTGAAGTCGGTATCTCCATTCCCTTAATGTTTACTTTTCCGCATTCTTGATGCTACTTGGAATTTTACCTCATCAATCATAAACAATCAGAATCGATTATGACATTGTCTTGACATTGGCGAGGAATTAAGCAGTAACAGAAGCTGAGCCTTGAGTTCATTTAGTGTAGAGGGAACCGCTATCGATTATCAAAATCTCACCTTTGATCTCACGATTTCTGCGTTCACTCTTTCGGCTACAGTTCGGTTTGCCATTGTATTTGGATAAGCCTTTGATGGGCGCACCCGTTTCCGGATTTACACACCAACAGAATTGTGATGAACGATGGCATTGTACACGATCATATAGCCTGAATTTACGATGCGAAAATATTGATTGTGAGCATGAAGTGAAGTCTTCGTGAATGACATATCGTAATCAATTTGTTACGGAATTCTCCCACAATTACGCAAAAGAATGATCAATTTTCGTGATTGAGGGCTAAAAAATTGTCGTAACTAGCGATTTTCCTCGAATTATGACTTTGAACCTATAAATATTAATGGAGGAAGTTTGACCTGGCGCTTCAAGCATGCATAGTTGTTAAAGAGTTAAAACTGCATCAAGGAATGTGAAGATATTACAGATCGCTTCCTTTAGATTAGAGATCAATTTTTTCAATTTATTCTTCCGTTTTTGCCACTTATTTCCGTTATTCAATTCTCACTTATGTTTCATCACTTCAGCTGGATTGCAATTCAAAAACAAGAAGCACACATCTCAGAATACACTTCCAGTAATTTAATGCCGATATTCTTCAGGAATAAATCTGCTAGTGAACATACAGATCATTTTCCCCCGTACACGTCGGAACGTAGTTGCCACTGTTTGGATTCATTTGCAATTTTTTCATTGCTTGTGCTCGTTGTGTCCGGCATTCAACGTGTTCTGCAACTTCAAACTGCATTGAATTGTTATTTAGGAGTTGGGTCGGTAAATTTTGCTCAATGGAACATGTTTTCACTGGACTTTTGAGGCACAATAAGGATTTTTTTCAAAAAGTGGTTGTGTGCATCGAATCCACTCAAAGTAAAAAAAAATAACCAATGAATTGCTTCACCTTCTTCGTTGTTGAGATCATCGACAACGGCTTCATTAAACGATTTACTGTGATCGCTATCATGAACGGTTTCATTTCGTAGCGCTTCCTCCATTCTTGCCTTTGTCATCGGAACACTCAACATTCGGGCCATATTCAAATCACCTTGAAAGTAACGCAAATCCCAATGAAAATACGTGAAATTCAGTTTCAAATCCTCTCACTCAATAAGCTGTCGTGCATCTGCGTTGTGCTCACATCATGCCGGTTAAGATTATCGAATTGTTACGATAATGAAGCATCGAAGATGTTAGTCAATGTGAAATGACGATTTTACTTGCTCTTATGGACTGAATTAACAATGAACGTCCAACGGCGCGAAAAACCGTGGGTTTCATTGAGAGGATTCTCTTGGATTCTACTGTTCTCAGTCCCTAATCTTTTTTCAGTGGCTACCATTTCCTTCTTTTAACGAACAATGAGTATTTTTGATCATTCTTTGCAGGATGCTTTTCAAAAACCAGAAATGGATGAATGTGTTGAATACATCATGACATGAGAAACTCCAAAAAAAGGAACGATTAAAAGTGCGTTCAGTTTATCAATAAAAGCGAAAAAATTTAGTGATATGATTTGGCAGAAAAAAGGTGTTTAGAAGAACACTGTTAAAATTTTCATNGAGGTTAATAATTGAACTGAAACACATGAATTGCTGAGCGTTTTCTCCGATTACAATGTGAACATCCTCACAAGATGCAGTGACGTGCAGTAGAGTGGAGTGTATAAGCGTAACGTGAATCGAAAGTGTTTTAGTGTTTAGCAGCTGAGAACGTTGCTTTGAAAAATGAGAACGTTTGAAAATTGGAGTAAGAAATCGAGTGAGAACCATCAAAGAGAAGTGCTGATGAGTCTGAGAAAAGAATCGTAGGCCGAACATCGTACGGACGTGCGTTCACGATCATCATCACCTCGAATGGTGGCTCATCGAGCAAAAGAGATATTGATATGAAGTGAACAATGAAATGATTGATGTACGACGACGATGACCGATGGTGCATTGTTGTCCGTGTAAATCAGCGATGCTTATAAACAAAGTACAATTGCAGTCGTCACAATTGCTGTTTCAAGCTTGAAACGAACGATTTCAGTGATACACAAGGATGACAGTTCATCCAATTGATTGGCACTCTATGCAATCACCCATCGATTATAGGACTAAAATTATTCAACGGAAAGTTTGCCGAATTAATTCACAACAATGTCCATGAAATCAGTAACGAAATTTCACGCATACGAACTGGCGAAAGCGCATTGTTGACTGCTCTATAAAAGGATCGAATAAATTACGATGATGTCACTAAAACTATAGATAATTACGCTCGAAAATTGTTCTGAACAAAGCAATTTTTTTGCGATGCTGT